TCCTTTGAGCGTCGAACAAACACGCTAGGATAGTGCATCACCATATCGCGCCAAAGGTAGCGCGCACCGGCAATTGGGGCTGGTGGGGAGGCGGTGGTAGAGCAAGTACTGATAACGTGTTAAAATAAAAACAGAATGGAGAGAAAAGGGGAATGGCATATTCATTCATCTGTATTTTTCATATTACAACAAAACATATATATATAATATACATTTGTAACGGAAGGTAATAATGGTAGACATAAATGTGACCGTTACATCAGTTACATAATCAGCTCATAATGTTCATACTTAATTATATTTATAACAGAAATAAATTAATCTAGATTGTCCATAACTAATTGGTTCAAATCAAAAAGGTTAATAGGCCACTCTCATCTAAAGTCAACTTTGTATTCTTGTGATTACCAAACCAATGAACTTAGTTTTTTTTTTTTTTTTTTTTTTTTTTTTTTTGAAAAGTTTGATGAACTTAGTTAAGTAGTAGTTGGTTGTCCCTCGTTTTATTTTTCTTCTCGAGGCTACTCTTGGCAAATTAAGGTAGGATATGTTGTGTGGATCATATTATAACCATTAATAATAAAACACACTTAAAAAAAAGAAAATTAAAATTATGATCCTTTTATATTTAGCATCATAAATTGACATGATGACATCTCAAGTTGTTAAGGTTTCCATTACAATATGTAATATAAAGGGAAAATTATAATTTATGCCCCTATAATATGTCAATTATCAATATTATTCCTGAATTATATATTAGTGGCGTAAATGTTGTTCCTCAATTTTTAAAATGGTATATATAGTGCTCTCTTGTTGTCTAAATGTTGTCACTCCATTTTTAAAATGGTACATATATTGCCGTTCTCGTACGGTACAAGATGGACAATATATGTACCGTTTTGAAAATTGAGGGACAACATTTACACCATTAATAATTCAAGGGTGACATTGATAATTGACAATTATAGAGGGATATACATTACAATTTTTCCTAATATAAATTGGCATACTTATTCCAAAAATCCTGCGCAAGTGCTACTTATACTAAAGAAATTATGGATGGCATATTGGCATGTAAGATTTTCTTGTATAATATATTTTAGAGCTAATTTTATTTCTGATCTTACATTTATAGGTGTCAATTCACTTTTAGTCATTCTTTTTTTCAAAGTACGTCTCTATTTAGCACTAGTATTATTGTGACATGATATTTTTTATCATTTGTCAACAAATATGTTTCCACAAATTTCCACATATGCTCCACGCCTCATAACCAACCACAGCATGCATTTAAACAACACAACAGAGACATTACCAACATTATAACAGGGCTAAAAGCCTAAAACACAATGACAACATCCACAAACTACAGTATTCTGCATGCAGTTAATTTTAAAACATTCATTTGCTTGTCTATTTTGTTGGGACTAATCTTACTATTCTTATATTAATGAGTTACAAGATCGAGTTTATTACTGAAATGGTCCATCGACTACTGCAAAATTACCAATTTGGTTATCGATAATTTATTTTACCCAATTAAGTCCTCGACTTTGAAAATGTAAACCATTTTGGTCCTCCGTTAGATCAGGTGTTAAAAGTCCAATAAATGGAAGGGTATTAATGGAATTTCGTTTGAGAAGACACATTTCCTACCAATTAAGTCCTCGACCTTTCTAGTCTCTAACTGGTAATCGTTGCACGTCTGGGAGGGTTTGTCCCGAAACAGAAAAATGTTCTCTGGCGACCGGAAAAACAAAAAGCCTGGATCTTGATGACCTGCTAGGAAGCTACAGAAGAGCAGAGGAGAAGAAAGCCAAAAACTCGGAAAAAAGAAAAAAAGGGATGAACGCCGGAGATTAGACATAGAGAAGGGGAAATGAGAAACAAATCTGGTGATAATTGAGAGAGTGAGAAGCAGGGGAAGGGAAGTAAATGACGAAGGCAGGTAGCGATATCCTCTTGCGAGAAACTTCAGATTCAGACCATTGCTTGCAGCAAGTAAAGACGCAACTTCCAACAACTTCAGATTCACCGACTTATTGAACCCATCTCACTACCCTCGCTGCAATGCCACCTAATCTCAAGCCTCAAAGCATGCAATAGAGTATGGACTTTTAGTATATTTAACTATTTGCATTATAATTATATATAAATAATAAGAATCAAGAATTTTTCTTGTGCTCCGACAGTGAAAATAAAAAATCAGCTTTGGGGATTTTTCTGAAATTAAACTTAGGAAATCAGGGGCAAAAACCCAAAAAAAAGAAAGGAAAAGAAAATCAGTTTTCTTGCGAATGAGCTTCTCGTCCATGGCGTCTTTGTGATTTAAAGCTTTAAGCCTCGACTAGATCTGTGCTTCTGTTTCTATTGTACTAACTCGGTAGGAAATGGGTCTTCTCAAGCGAAATTCCATTAATAGCCTCCTATTTAACGGACATCTAACACCTTATCTAACAGAGGACCAAAATGGTTAACATTTTCAAAGTCAAGAACTTAATTGGATAAAAAAAAATTATCGAGGATTAAATTGGTAATTTCTCAATAGTCGAGCGAGGGACCATTTCAATAATAAACTCGAGTTACAATTAAGCAATACAAACTAATATAGTAACACCACATGTGGTCGGAAAATTGGTTAGAACAGTACCGGTGTTTTTAACTCACATTTGTACTGTCCACCAGGGCGCACAATGCATTATTGTGCGCCCTGGCCCAAAACGACGTCATTTTGTACATTTTCCCGTGTCTTCTGTTATCTTCTTAAAAAAAATCTCATATTTCGAATGTACAGAATTGTATAATAGAATGTACATAATTTTATAACTGAATACACATAATTTTTTACACCATTAATAATTCAAGGGTGACATTGATAATTGGCATATTATAGAGGGATATACATTACAATTTTTCCTAATATAAATTGGCATACTTATTCCAAAAATCCTGCGCTATACTAAAGAAATTATGGATGGCATATTGGCATGTAAGATTTTCTTGTATAATATATTTTAGAGCTAATTTTATTTCTATTCTTACATTTATAGGTGTCAATTCATTTTTAGTCATTTTTTTTTTCAAAGTACGTCTCTATTCACTGTTAGAAATTTCGCGTTTTCCGTCCAACTATAATTTGGTCGGTATTTTAATAAAAATCTCAACTTTTTGTGGCAAAAGATGGATTGACGGAAAATTGGTCGGAATTTCCGTCCAACAAGTAAATGTTGGACGGAAATTTTATCCAACGTCTAGTGTTGGAAGGATATTTTGTCCAATCTTTAGTGTTGGTCGATCAACATTGTTAGAAATTGAAAATGGTAGCTATTTTAATTTTCGTCCAACATTGTTGTTGGACGGAAATTAAAAAATAGAGGAATACTAGAATAATGGACACTAAATAGAGAAGCGGGGAAATATATAACTTTGGGTGGGAAAACCTAATTCCCACCAAATTCCCAGCAAAATTTTCCCGCTTCATAGTCTCTAAAGCAAAATTAGGGCTTTTTCATCGTCTCCAACTAATTGCTTTTATCTTCGCTGGTCGTCGCTGTCACGCCCTCTTTCGCCTGTTTGTCGTCTCCCCGTTCTCCATTGGAGCACAGGAAGGTCGCCAATCACCCTCCGTAGCTGCCGGTCTTCGCACATTATTTGTATATCTAAAATCCCTTAATCAACTTTCCTCTCAGTGTCTCTCTCTCGTTCCTTGCAAATCCGACTGTTGACGAAGAAGCCAACGCCTTCCGCCCTCTCCTGCGAATCTACGATGAAGATGATAGACGACAACAAAGCAAGCAGAAGCCATGGTGGACGACGAAGCTAGAAGTCAACGCCTCTGCCCCGCCTTCCCCTGCGAATCTGTGAATCTGGGTATGTTTTCTTAATTTTGTTTTGTATTTTCTTCTTATTATTCTTCTTTCATAAGAATCGCCATGATTTTCAAATCTATTTTCTTCCCTAAATGTTGGTATATTTTTGCTGCTAGTGCTACTTCAGAGTGCAATTAGGGTTATGAACTAAATTATGAATACATTCTCTCCACCAGAAGTGATGCTTTTCCAGGATGGTAATAAAGAATTTATTTTGTTATTGATTCTTCCATTTTGTTATTGATTCTTACATGTATGGTTGTATGTATTGACATCTTTTCTATTTGATGATATTAATTTAGTTATATCTTTGAGATATTCTTTAACGATCTAGCATATTAATTTCTAGAACTTTGCATATGTTTAGGCCAACTATATTTGCTAATAAATGTATCCGTCTGTAAATGTTGAACTGCAGAACATAGCTTGCACCAAATTCCTTGACATGGGAACCTATTCTGTTACATAGAGGCAATTATGTTAGAGCTTTGATCTAGAAATTGCATTCTGTTACATTGGGGCAATTATATTAGGCTCAAGAACTTTCTGTGGGAAACACAAGGAAAAACTTTCTGTTGTGAATAAAAACTAGAAGTGTTTACGTATTAGAGTTTATCTTCAATCATCATCAGTTTATTTTCTAAGAATTGTTTGTGAAAGCATTGGAATAGAAAAATGTGTTGATTGAACAACCTTTGCCTAATCTATCTATGAGGTTACATGATATTAATATATTCCAAAGTGGATTTTTTCAGTCAGACAGATAACTTATACTGGGATAATCTCAAACTACCTCAACACAAAATTTAGACCTTAATTATATTTGTTCATTAGATCAATAACCTAGGATGACCGATTCTGAAAAAAAGAAAAACTAGAGTTTGTCTGCTATCCTATAGCAGCCTTCTGAAGAGTGATCTCATCTCATCTCTCCTTTTCCATGTGCGCAAGAAGGCTGTTGATGAGGCTTGGATTATTATTTGGCTTAATAATTGCTCCTCACTATATTTGGCTTAATACACTCAACACATGTGATTAACTCAGAAACAGTGGTGAAGAAGTGCAGAAAGTAAGATCTATTTGGAGAACTTACATTCATCTATAGCATCAAGAAACTAAGGTCTATTGGAGAAGAGGAGAAGAAGAAAGGGCTTTCTCTTTCTCCTGCTGATTCTATCTGTAAGTGTTCCATCCCCCATTGGTTAATTGGTGAACTTCATATCATGAAATCCTATAACTAAAATTAAAATACGAGTGTTTATGCTTATGCACTTTAATTTAATGTGGTTGCTGAAATGGAAGTTTGATTAATAATATGTTGAGGATTTAAGAAGAATGTAAACATTATTGCTTATCCAACTATGTATATATATGAATAAAGCTGGGGATCTTATTGTTTGTCCTTTGGATTAAAAGTTTGGTTTCTTTGAGATAAATTATTTTGGGAACTTCATGTTATCAATACTGGCAATGTATTCCTTTTCAATTCAGGTGTCCAAAGGAAGAAATTCACCATTCACATATGTCATTGTTGACAACCAAAAGTGAGTGTGTTAATCTTTGCAATCTGTGGGGAATTTTATGAGGTTCTACCATACATATTACTATTATCTTGAAGGGTCGTTGTTCTATGATGTTCCAGAAAAACTCGTACATGCATTTCCACTCAAGGATATCCACACAAATCAAAATTGTCTTCAGCCCTTGATGGAGTAAATATTGTCTACTTAGATGGAAGATTGCATGAGACTGCTTTTCTTGTAGCGCAAGAGGTAATTGTCATTTTTATTTACTTTTCTTCATACCCATATAAGTTACTTTTTATGAAACAAGATTACAGGTAATAAAATGATCATTTCTTTATATGATTATGGCATCTAAGAGATTATGTTTTCATTCGTTTTTACTAGTATACTGAATGTTATTGTGCATTTATTTACCTTACATTTTTATTTTGGTGTTTTTTTTTTTTCTGGTTATATGCAGATTGTTGGTCATTTTTGCTAGAAATCACTTTTAAAAATGCTGATCAAAGCCATCATATTAAATTAGTTGCATTTGTAGGTATACCCATCATCTACACTTGATCAAAGTCATTGAAGTAGAAGGCTGTGGATTCTGCATTGATCGACATTGAAGCATTGCTGGATTTGAAGGCTTATTTGGGTGCATCGATCATACTTAAGTAGTATTGATTAAGTAGTATATATTTTCATGATTTATTTATTTATTTATTTTTATTTTTTTGTATGATAATAGTTCATTGTTGGAAGTACAATGGACATGACCATAATTTTGATGTTTAAATATATTTTCAATTTTCAATTTAGTGTGTCTATTAATTTATTGATGATATATAATTTATTAACAATAGGTAGAAATAAAATTATGGTAATATAAAAATAATAAAAATATTTCATATGATTTAAGATTTTCCTACCAACAATTGGAAGGAAAATCAAAAAATATAATATGTGAGTTTTCCGTCCAACATTGGTCGGAATTTCCGACCAACGCATGTAGTTGGACGGAATTTCCCACGTTTTAAGCATGGTGGGTTATTGTCTGAAATTTCCGTCCATTTTTAACTATTGGAAGCTATTTCCGACCAAATATTGGAGTTGGACGGAATTTCCCACGAGCGTTTTTCCGAACATTCAATTTGGTCGGTATGTTGGACGGAAACCTCGTTTCCGACCAATATATCGCGTTTTCCGTCCAACATTCGTTGGACGGAAAACGCGAGATTTCCAGCAGTGATTTAGCACTAGTATTATTGTGACATGATATTTTTTTATCATTTGTCAACAAATATGTTTCCACAAATTTCCACATATGCTCCACGCCTCATAACCAACCACATCATGCATTTAAACAACACAACAGAGACATTAGCAACATTATAACAGGGCTAAAAGCCTAAAACACAATGACAACATCCACAAACTACAGTATTCTGCATGCAGTTAATTTTAAAACATTCATTTGCTTGTCTATTTTGTTGGGACAAATCTTACTATTCTTATATTAATGAGTTACAAGATCGAGTTTATTACTGAAATGGTCCATCGACTACTGCAAAATTACCAATTTGGTCATCGATAATTTATTTTACCCAATTAAGTCCTCGACTTTGAAAATGTAAACCATTTTGGTCCTCCGTTAGATCAGGTGTTAAAAGTCCAATAAATGGAAGGGTATTAATGGAATTTCGTTTGAGAAGACACATTTCCTACCAATTAAGTCCTCGACCTTTCTAGTCTCTAATTGGTAATCGTTGCACGTCTGGGAGGGTTTGTCCCGAAACAGAAAAATGTTCTCTGGCGACCGGAAAAACAAAAAGCCTGGATCTTGATGACCTGCTAGGAAGCTACAGAAGAGCAGAGGAGAAGAAAGCCAAAAACTCGGAAAAAGAAAAAAAGGGATGAACGCCGGAGATTAGACATAGAGAAGGGGAAATGAGAAACAAATCTGGTGATAATTGAGAGAGTGAGAAGCAGGGGAAGGGAAGTAAATGACGAAGGCAGGAAGCGATATCCTCTTGCGAGAAACTTCAGATTCAGACCATTGCTTGCAGCAAGCAAAAACGCAACTTCCAACAACTTCAGATTCACCGACTTGTTGAACCCATCTCACTACCCTCGCTGCAATGCCACCTAATCTCAAGCCTCAAAGCCTGCGATAGAGTATGGACTTTTAGTATATTTAACTATTTGCATTATAATTATATATAAATAATAAGAATCAAGAATTTTTCTTGTGCTCCAATAGTGAAAATTAAAAATCAGCTTTGTGATTTTTCTGGAATTAAACTTAGGAAATCAGGGGCAAAAACCCAAAAAAAAGAAAGGAAAAGAAAATCAGTTTTCTTGCGAATGAGCTTCTCGTCCATGGCGTCTCTGTGATTCAAAGCTTTAGACTAGTTCTGTGCCTCTGTTTCTATTGTACTAACTCGGTAGGAAATGGGTTTTCTTAAGCGAAATTCCATTAATACCTTCCTATTTAACGGACTTCTAACACCTGATATAACAGAGCACCAAAATGGTTAACATTTTCAATGTCAAGGACTTAATTGGATAAAAAAAAGAGAAAATTTCAATTTTGGTCACATGACTATAGGGGCTTTGTTAATTTTAACACCTGACTTTTAAAAGTGTCAATTTAGTACCTTGAGTATGTAATTTTTGTCAATTTTGATCCCTCCGGCCAAATTGACGGTCAAATTTGGCCGAAAAAATTTAATCAAATATTTAATCTATAATTTGAGGGGTAAAATGGTCTTTTGATCATTTCTCCTAATTGGTGTTGACCGGTACTATATTTGGGGGCTCGTCGTCGGCGTCTGCCTGAAAGAACACGGCGTCCCCTTCGTGATCTTCGAAAGAGTAGACTGCATTGCATCGTTATGGCATAAATGCACCTACGACTGCCTGAAACTTCATCTTCCCAAGCGATTCTGTCAGCTCCCCAAATACCCTTAACCGGATCACTACCCGGAGTATCCGCCAAGGCGGGCATTCATTAAATACCTCGAATCGTACGCTGAACACTTTGACATCAAGTCGCGGTTCAACGAATGTGTGCAGTCCACTAAGTGCGATGAGGCCTGCAAGGTGTGCGGGTCAAGATGGCCTACCCTGACGGCTGAGAAGTCGAGTATATTTGCCAGTGGCTCGTCTTGGCCACCGGCGAGAATGCGGTGTCCGTCGTGTCGGAGATTGAGGGCTGAAGGAATTCGCGGCGAAGTGATCCATGTCTGCGATTATAAGTCCAGCGAGAATTTCCACGGCAAGAAAGTTCTGGTCGTCGGCTGTGGGAATTCTGGCTTGGAAATCTCCCTCGATCTTTGCAACCACGACGCTAAACCTTCCATGGTTTGCCGCAGCTTGGTAAGCAAGAAACCCATCAACTAAACGACGACGTAATGCAAAATCGCAGTTGAATTCTAATAAATTTTTCCTCTTTTATGTTGTTCAGGTTCATGTACTGCCCAGAGAATTTTTGGGGAAATCGACGTTCGAACTCGCTATGTGAATGATGAAATGCCTACCGCTCTGGCTGGTGGACAAGATTCTGGTAGTCCTGACATGGTTTATCCTCGAAACAAAAAAAAAATATGGACTTCAATTGGACAATTGGAACTCAAGAATACACGAGGAAAAAACCCATGTTCTTGACATTGGTGCTCGGAAAAGATCAGATCAAGAAAACTTAATGTTGATCCTTTTTGGGGGTACTATATTTCACAATTGCTGAACCGGGTCAATTGTCGCTGAACTGGGTCAACACCAATTAGGAGAAATGATCAAAAGACCATTTGCCCGTCAAATTATAGATTAAATATTGGATTAAATTTTTTCGGCCAAATTTGACCGTCAATTTGCCGGAATGATCAAAGTTGACAAAATTACATACTCAAGGTACTAAATTGACACTTTTAAAAGTCAGGTGTTGAAATTAACAAAGCCCCTATACTCATGTGACCAAAATTGAAATTTCTCATAAAAAATTATCCAGAATTAAATTGTAATTTCTCAATAGTCGAGGGACCATTTCAGTAATAAACTCGAGTTACAATTAAGCAATACAAACTAATATAGTAACACCACATGTGGTCGGAAAAGTGTTAGAACAGTACCGGTGTTTTTAACTCACTTTTGTACCGTGCACCAGGTGCACAAAGCATTATTGTGCGCCCTGGCCCAAAACGACGTCATTTTGTACATTTTTCCGTGTCTGCTGTTATCTTCTTAAAAAAAATCTCATGTTTCGATATGTACAGAATTGTATAATAGAATGTACAGAATTGTATAATAGAATGTACAGAATTTTATAAATGAATACACATAATTTTTTTTGAAAGGATAATACACATAATCTAACATAATACACATAAACTCTTAACATTGATGTGAAATATACCCCGGGTTCAGACTCTCCGTACACTCCGTGATCTTGTTTGGGTCAAGGTCAAACGATTCAGGTCAAAGTCAACCCATCAACCCTTGGACCTATAAATAAGGCCTTAGCCCTCATTGTTAAGTGTACTTTCCTCTTCACTCTCGTCACTCTCTCTCTGGTATGTACAAATCTCTCCGCTCTCTCTACATACAAAAGAAAAGAGATTAATGAATGAAAGTCTTCTTTGAGCTCATATTCTTGCAATTAGTCTTAGTCTACCATACATACGGGGGTGGCGGGTGCGACGAGAATAGCAAAAAAAGGGAGGAGCTGGATGTTGCATGCATCGAGATTGGGGTGAACTTTGGACATAGAATTTGAAAAGGCAAAAAATAAAATAAAAACGAAACAGCACAATGTTGGCCGTCTGCATACACACCTTTGGAAAATGCAAAGTGAATATTTTTAGAGTTGATAAATTTTTATTGTAATTTTAAATTATAGCTTGTATAGGTCAACACTCTTGTAGCTTGTATAGGCTATAGATTTGTACCTAAAACGTAATAGCAATATGTATGTATTCTAAGTCCCGTTAGGTTGGTATTTTCATCATCAACACCTAAAGCTCGGTCAGATCGGCCTTGTCACCACCGGTATTATTAAGTCCGGGTCCGTCTCGACATGGTCGGTATGCCAAAAGCCCTACGAACGTAGGCATAAGCCCGGGTTCGTCCCGACACGATCGGTAGGCCAAAAGCCCTACGAACGTAGGCATAAGCTCAGGTCCGTCCCGACACGATCGGTAGGCCAAAATGTAACACCCCGTGTTACGAGCCCTAAATTAAAACTAATTTAATTATCACCCACCCCAAAAAGGGAATTAGAATCCATTAATTAGCTAAAGAGGGGTCCACTATGGATCATGGGCCCTTGGCCCTAAAAACAATCCCTAGTCCCATAGGAATTAGAATTAACAAACCCATACCACTTAGACCCTAATTAGGACTCTTAGGTATATAAATAGGGACATAGGAGACACCTAGATCTCACACCACAATAATCTCTCACCACACAAGAAGTTCCAAGAACCCCCTTAGGAGAAATCAAGAACGAAGAAAGCTTAAAGAAAGACCCTTCATAGCCAAGGAAATTAATTAAGGCTAAGAGGTAACCCATGTCTCAACAAAACCTATTTTCTTCGCTATAATCTCCTTCTTGGCCTCCCTCTATATTCTCGTGTCTTGATGAATTCTTCTATGATAATTGTGTTATGATCTTGGTGATTGAAGAGATGATTTATATGCTTTCTTGATGATTTTGATATTGAAAAGAAGTTCTTGATTTTGATGTGATGATTCTTGACGAATCTTGATATTTCTAGATGTTAAAGATAAAATATGTTCTTGATGTTTTGGGTGGG